CCTTACTGTTTTCACCTTCCGAAAGAGCATACAAAAGATCAGTATGTTAAAATGAGAGAGTAGAATAGATTTTTTTATTCAAATAAAGTTACATTGAAGCACTTTTGAATAGTCTACAAGTTTTTCTTTAATGTATCGCTCAATCGGAAAGCTGTCTCAACAAACCAGAGCGAGCAAGATCAGCAATGAACTTGCGTGTTGCTCTTTTAAATGTCAACAATATAAGTAGTAATAATTAAAAATGGCATTGCATTAATTTAAATTGCATTTAACAGTCTATATGTGAACGGTTCATAACTCTAACTTCAAGAAATTCGACCTTCTAAACATATTTAATAGCAACTGTACACGCGGCTTCATCTGTGTGGGATTTAACTTTATTTTTCTAAAATAAAAGTAGCCTAAGTTACTCCTTTTTACATCAGCTACATGCCAATAAAAGTCCCGTTAAAAACAGTCCAGACATTTCGAGATTATCCGGAACAAACCGACAGACAGACGAAAATAGTAAAAAAAAATATTTTGGTGTATATATCGTATTTATATTCATATGCGTGCAGTAAAAACGGTAATTTCAATATTACAAACAGACACTACAATTTTATTTATATGTTAATTTTATATACATTAGTTGTGTGTGTGGCAGCCCTAGCGATGTTTATTACATGTGGCATAATATGGATGTTAATACGTGCGAGCGATATATCGTGCCGATCAGCTGTTTTGAATGGATTTGTGTATCAATATTTACAATAGTAAACACTACATGTTTATATATCTTAATGTTTAAGTGTACAATTATTTTCATAACAGTGATAATTGATAAAGACATCCATGGACGGTACGATTTGTTACGCGATTAGTATTCTCTGTACAGATGATTAAGTACGTAGATACGTGTATGGAATCGGTGTAAAATAACAGAATAATAATCTCAGGACAATACACACAGCGCCATCTAGACCCAAGTTAAGCTAGCTAAAGCTTGTGTTATGGGTACTAGACAACTGATACAAATACATAGATTTTGTTTCGTAAATACATACATTATATACATAGAAAACACCCACCGATACAAACAATCATGAATACAGTGTGTCGTGCGAGGAATCAAACTCGCTAATTCAAACGGGGATCGAAATTACGACAGCCTAAGCCGAGGTTCGAACCCCTAGCGGTGTCCTCAGACTAAAGTCATATCCGTCAGGCGGGAGTTGACCTTCAGCCGTTCTATAAGTCCTTCTTTGGTTTGAAGTGCCTGCACTCGTTCTCTATTGTCCGGTGAAGCTGTGAAACTGCGGCCAACAGCATTAGAGTATGCCGAAAAAAAATTAATAGTGATGATCAGTCAGATGATCAGACCAGTCCCTACTCCTGTACTGCTACTGCGTTCACGAGTATGACCTTTATATCAGATTCGTGTTTATGGCGTTAATGCAGTACTGGTGAACATAGTTCTTGGGCTGAGGCCAGTTGCGGCCAACAGCATTAGAGTAGTCCGAAAAAAAAACTCGTCGTATCATTGGTGGACAGCGTTAGTAGCCACCACTCACACGACCGGTGTGGTAGCGTGATGGTATGTATCCACGACAGTGAAATCGACCATTGCATGATCTCCCAAGTCGGAACGCATGGACCTAAAACATTTAGATGCATTTGAAATTCAAGCCAGTTTTTTTGTGCAACGACGGAGCGATCAGGTATATCGCCGATATAGTTTTTAATCAACCTACTTTTAAAAGGAAGGATTTCACAATGTTACAGTTTTTTTATAGTCCATAAATCCTATTAGTATTATAAACACGAAAGTTTGTCATATCCACATTTTTTTTTTATTTTACGGTTTTTTTTTAAAACAATTTAATAGACTAGAATAATGTTAAACAATTATTGCCTATTCTTACTTCACACAGTATAAAACAAAGTCACTGTCGCTGTCTGTCCGTCCCTATGTATGCTTAAATCTTTAAAACTACGCAACTGATTTTGAAGCGGTTTTTTTAATAGATAAGATTCAAGAGGAAGGTTTATATGTATAATACATGTACACCCGAGCGAAGCCGGGGCGAGAAGCTAGTATGTTATAAACATATTTTGTTATAATAGATGGATGTTTGTTACTCTTTCACGCAAAAACTACTGAACGGATTTTGATGCAGCTTTACAGTAATGTAGCTTACATATCAGAATATAGATCCAATTGAGAAGAACTGGCAAGAAACTCAATTGAATTGCTTTTTTAAGAGCCAGTTTATATACAATGTATATTTATATATGTGTCTATGTCTATCATTACAAGAAAATCCTGTGCATGAACAACTATTGCCATGCAAAATTATATTGTGTATATTATTATTATATATATACAGATAGCTAGAATAGGTATAATAAAAAATAATATTATTTGTAGGCGGTTTAATATGAATTTTGTATACTTTATTCATAAAAATAATGTAGTTGTAAAACTCAAGTCAGGTATGAAATAACAGCCTCAATCATGACCCAACAGTTCATAACAACTACAATAACGTAATAAGGAAAACATAAACAATAACTAACAAGTTTTATAAAAGTGTTTGTTGATAATGTACTCGTCTAATTTAAATATTATTTGGGGGGCTACCCGCGTTGGTTTCATGCCTACAATGTGGCTGCTAGGTCTATATACAACTAGATGTACTCACGACTTCGTCCGCGTGGAATTTAACTTTATTTTTCTATAATAAAAGTAGCCTAACTTACTCCTTATTACATTAGCTATCTGTCAAAAAAAGTGCCGTCGAAATCGGTTCAGCCATTTCAGAGATTAGCCGGAACAAACAGACAGACAGACAGACAAAAATTAAAAATGTTTCTTTGATGTATGTACCGTATTTATATTCATATGCATGACTTTACTGCATAGTAAAAACGGTTATTTCGCTATTACAAACAGTCACTCCAATTGTATTTATATGTATAATAATAATAATAATAATCTCAGGACAATTCACACAGACACACAGTTGTACAGATGATTAAGTACGTAGATACGTGTATGGAATCGGTATAAAAACGACATAATATCTCAGGACAATTCGCACAGAGCCATCTAGACCCAAGTTAAGCTAGCTAGAGCTTGTGTTATGGGTACTAGATAACTGATACATATACATAATTTTATTTTTAAATACATACATATTATACATAGAAAACACCCAGACCGATACAAACAATCATACTCATGAATAAAAATGTTTGTGCCGTGCGAGGAATCGAACCCGCGACCATCGGACGTAAAGCGGTGTGCTAAACCGCTAGACCACCGAGGTCGTCATATTATTTAGGTATATTTGTTTCTCACGGTACAGTAAGCTCTACCAATATTATTAGTGAGTACAATAAATTCCCATACAAAGTTTTCAACAAAATTATTTTTTTTGTTGAAGGAATATTGCAGTGGTTGATTTGTTTTAAATTGAAATAAAAAGAATATTTAGAATGTATTGTACGGAGGTCTTTGGGAGAGGCCTATGTCCAGCAGTGGACGTCTTCCGGGCTGCGATGATGATGATGATGATGATTGTACGTTGATTTTAATAATGACGTCACGGAATGTTCGAGAAGGAGTGCTAAATTGTATATAAAATAACATTGATGTTCTGGGCCTGACATTCAAATTTGAAATTTTGAAATTTTATTTTTAAATGAAGTAAAGGGCTATTTGCAATAGCAAACATTTATTCTTAGATAAGTCTTAACTGTATGGTTTGTATTAGGACAGAGATTCTAGCGAAATCGGCTAGAATTGGCAACACGTTGTGTAACGTACACACACCAAAATATAGCACCAACTCAAACAGTTCCTCCTCTTTTTGAAGTCTGTAGGAAAGCCAATTAAAGCAATGTTCAGGCATCGCTGCGCTGACAGCATTGAATGAGGCCTTTGATAACGATATCGAAAGCAACTTTCACGTGACCAGACAGCTAACCGATCCGAACCAATTTTTTTCTTTATTTTAAACTGTGTATAGAGCATGACATCATACCTACTCAAATCGGTAAATCATTTTCGTAATCACTCGATGCTTTTGTATAATTTTTTTTCTTGTTTAGTAATTTGACACTCTCTCTTATCGGCGTGTGCTCTGCCAGGGTGCTGGTAGGATTCTTTTTCGTTTTTAGTTACACATTTTTATACCGATTTGAACGATTTTCAGTTAGTTTATATTAAACTAGTCGACCCGTGCAACTTCGTCTACGTTTCATTTCACTACCTTTTGCAATATTTTTCATTACAGCGCCGCTCCTATTTGTCGTAGCGTAACGTTATATACCTTAAATCCTTCCTCGACAAATGGAGTATCCAGCACCAAAAGAATTTTACATTTCGAACCAGTGTTTTCTGAGACTAGCGCGTTCAAACAAACAAACAAAGTCTGAAGACTAGCGTTATAATATTAGTATAAATTAATTAAATTAATAATTAAGGTGTTAACTACTTTAACTTGTTATGCTTGAATAAAATAAAGGTCGGAATCTATTTCATTTGTAGTGAATTTGAAAAAATAATTATATGCTATACTCACACGGATTGGGCTCTGTAGTCATTATTTAAATCAATTAATAGTAATTTAATCAAATTAATCGGATATCATACTTTTTAGCTCGTACCGAAATAATCTCACAATTTAGAAACGTTCTTAAATGTTATAAAATGATTATATATTTACCCACTTCTTTTTGCCGTGAACTGAATAATTTTAAGATTTTTTTTTTATATATTAATGGCTATGATTTAGACATTATTGTATAATTATATTACTGATTACGAAGATTTAATCATCAGTCCTCTTGGACTGCATGAAGAGTACAATGGGTAACACAGTTTTTTCTGAGCAGCCTGTTGTCGTGCTATTAATGTCTTAATTAATGTATTGTCATGTCCATAAAAAACAGTTGTATAGTCAGAATATTTACCATTTGTATCGTACTAACATGGTATTGCATGCGTGTTCCAGGGAGGAGGGCGAAGACAAACCGAAGCCGACGGAGAGCCAGGACGACGGTTACGAGACGAGCAACAGCGGCGAGGCGGCGCGCCGCAAGCCCTCCAGCGCGGAGGGCTCGCCCGCGCCGCCCCCCGAGCCGTCCCCACCTCCCGACCCCCCCTACGAGCCACTTCTGCGTCACTATCCAGATCCTGAGCCAGAGCCGTACCGCCACTTCGAACCCCCCGCGCCCCCGCAACCCCAACCCGAACCACAGTACCAACACTTCTTTCCGAAGTACAACGACCCGTACGCGTTCAAGCGCGAGCCAGATGCGCCGTACGACATGAGCCAACACCATCAGCACCAACACCAGCACCCGCATCACCAGCAGCACCAGTATGGGCCGCCGGGGAAGCGGGACGAAGACTTATACAACGGCATCAAGAGGGAGTGCGACGACCCGTACTCGTTCGTCGAGGAGGAAGCGATGTGCGCGATGCTGGGCCAGCCCCCGCACCACGGGATGCCCCCGCACATGCAGCACCACGAGCAGCACCCGCACATGATGCACCCGCAGCAGATGATGCTCAACCAACCCAAAAAGAGAGGGCGCAAGAAGAAAATCAAAGACGAAAATGGGTGAGTTGTTTTGCTTCATTAAAATAACAAATAATCGACCAGACAGTGTTTGGTGAGGTGAATAGGTTCCTTGTTGATCATAAAATTATATATTTTTTATTATAACACTGTAATTGTAGGCTCACCTGCCTGAATGGAGTATTTTTTACTTCTTGGCGAGGCCCAAGTGAAAAATTGAATCAAAATTCAGTACACAGTGTATTACATGTAAATTCGTTACGAATTATCAAAATGACTTTAGGCATCAATTTGATACGCGCCGCGTCCTCGCTATTGGATACAGGTTACCAGAAGCCTGATATCGGGAGAATTAGATATTATTTAGATGCAGAAGTCAAGGTACATAATTCGCTATCCCGTGTTCATACTCACGTTTCATCTAACAGAGTCTTCAACGAGAATCCTATATATAGGCAACACCACAGTCACAGTGATAATTAACTTGTAAATGAAAAAGAAATTTGGAAAATCGAGTTCGATGTTAAGACAGATAGAAAGTTCACAAAAAAAAACCCATTTTAACTTAATGCAGTCTATAATAAATGTACGATGTATATTATAGGTAGATATATGTAAGGTCGTAGGCGGTCAGAGTGTATGTGAACCGTGTAACTTTAGTATCGACTACTACTTTCGTGCAGAATATAAAAATCGCGTGACTCTTAACGAATAAGTCGTTTACGTTACTTAAAAAGTAAATAGCGGTGATTCGCGCCTTTATGATTTGAACACTTCGCATTGCATAATTTTCGAAATTTTAGTACAACAGGAAGTGACCTTATAGGTCCTAACCATGCAGCAATTACTATGGAAATTTGATCTCCTGTCCCATTCCAACGGGGCTCGAAATTTCGATGACCTAAGTCCAGGTTCAAAGACGATACGGTACCTACAAATTAAAGTCAGATCTGTCAGTCCTTCCTCCGGTATATATTGCGTTCTGCACTCCACAGTGCGGTTTTCTAGAAACTTTTTGCCACGTACAACCACACTGGAATCATCATCATCATCATCGCAGCCCGGAAGACGTCCACTGCTGGACATAGGCCTCCCCCAAAGATCTCCACGATGATTGGTCCTGCGCTGCTCGTAACCAATGCCTTCCAGCGATCTTGACCAGATCGTCGGTCCACCTTGCTGGAGACCTTCCCACGCTGCGTCTTTCGGTCCATGGTCGCCACTGGAGGACTTTATTGCCCCAACGGCCATCTGTCCTACGAGCTATTTGCCCTGCCCATTGCCACGTCAGTGTCGCAATTATTGGGTCTATGTCGGTCACTCTGGTTCTTCTGCGGATCTCCTCATCTCCGAGCATAGCCCTCTCCATTGCCCTCTGAGTGACTCTGAGCTTGGTCATGAGGCCCATAGTTCGCGACCACGTCTCTGTGCCGTAAGTCATCACTGGCAACACACATTGGTCGTAAACCTTCGTCTTGAGACACTGCGAAAATTTGGACGACTGGCGACTGAATGCAGTGTCTTGTTCAACGAAAGAGAATTATTCAACTACCGATCTCCGTATTTATAGACCCAAGTCAGTGTTGTAGGGAGAGAAGTAACGGTTATCTTATGACAAACAACTTAGTACGGTCTATAAATACTAGATGGCGCTATATACAATATTTGTAATAATCTTTACATTGGGTACTTCATTAGTACTAAACACAAACTACCTTCTTTTAATATCTTTTTAAAACATCAGATTTTTCTACAATATAGATGTGAACCTTAACGTATTAATACTAGTTACCCGCCCCGGCTTCACACGCGTGTACATGTATAATATAAAACTGCCTGTTGAATCACTCTATTGCTGAAAACTGCATTAGAAGTTGCGTAGTTTATAAGATCTAAGCGTACAGACAGCGGAAGCGATTTCGTTTTGTACTATGTAAAGGTAAATACTAAAAATACGACAGTCGGTCTGTTTATTAAAATGGCGTCTGCGGTCACGTGACGATGTGTCGTATACAGCGATCTGTTGGTAACCTTTCCGTGAAATGTAGCTATATCCTTGAAGGTTTTAAACCTAAGTGGAAACCCAAGGTAACTGTACTCGGTGTACAGTCCGACTCAAATACAGCGCAGTATCAAGGAAAAATTAATTTAGAGGACTCAAATTCAATTTGATGTACGCAGCCAGAATATATAAGTTTGAGGACATCGGTGGTCTAGCGGTTTAGTACTACTTACTTCCAATGGTCGCGGGTTCGATTCCTCGCACGGTACCAACATTTGTAATCGTGAGTACGATTGTTTGTATCCCTCTGGTTGTTTCCTATATATAATACTAGCTACTCGCCCTGGCTTCGCCCGGATGTACATAGTATTATATATATAAACATTCCTCTTAAATCACTCATCTATTAAAAAAACAGCTATAAAATCCGTTGCGTAGTTTTAAAGATTTAAACATACATAAGGACGGACAGACAGCGACAGCGACTTTGTTTTATATTATGTAATGATTAGCTCTATCAGCTATTTAGTACCCATAGCACTAGCTCTGTTTAATTTGAGATACGATAGCATTATAGCAACGATAATGAGTGCAATTAGGCGATATACATGTATAAGTATTAGTCTAGACCAGTGATTCCCAAAGTGGCCTATATCGACCCCCCAGGGGTATATGACAGACTGCAAGGGGTCTACGAAAGCGGTCATCTTGTTGTTTTTACTTTATGTTTTTAACAGTAAACTTTACTACAATTTGAAATTTACAAAAATCAATACCAGGTATGAATGGGGGGGTCTACCCGAAAACGAAAAATATGGCAAGGTGTGTACGACATAAAAAAGTTTGGGAACCTCTGGTCTAGACCTACGTGCCTTGTATTGTATAGGCTATGAATAGAATATAATAGAAAATCATTTATTCAAATAAACTTACATTGAAGCACTTGTGAGTTTTCTATCACATTTTTTTTAATCTACCGCTCATTCGGAAAGCTGTCTCATCACAAGAAGAACGAGCAAGAAACTTGCGTGTTGCTCATTTAAATAATTTTATTGTTTCTTTACATTTTAAGTTGAAGTGTGTGAATACAACTGCCAACCAATTGGCACTAAATCAATTAAATACTCAAATAGAAAAAATATTAAATGTACAACCAACTGGTTAAGCAACTAAATAAGAGTAAAGTCGTAGTCATTAGAGCAGACCAGTCCCCACAAGCAGCACTCGTTCACGAGTATGACGTATGAGCCAGCAATCACTGCGCTCTACCGTATTTTAGGGAGCCCAATGACCCGGCCCACCACGCCGCCACATGTCTGGACATTTTAGTGAGCATGACTACTCAACACATTAGACCACGTCACAGCTACTTAGAATTACAGTATATATTCGTAAATGTAGACGTTTTCGTGAACTTTGTTAATTTAAAATGCGTTACTATCAATTAATTAACCGCTGATAATAAATAAAACAAGGCTCTCCACATTACGAACCGTCCTTGCGGAATAAGGAATAGAATAGAATAGAAAATCATTTGTTCAAATAAACTTAAGCACTTTTGAACAATCATAACAATTTTTTTAATCTATCGCTCATTCGGAAAGCTGTCCATCATAAGAAGAACGAGCAAGCAAATTGAGTGTTGCTCTTTTAAATAATCACATTTTACAAGTCGAAACATGTGAATACAAACTACCAACCAGCACTAATTTATTATAGTCAAATATAAATATACAATAAGATTAAATCAGTCGTAGTGATAAGAACAGACCAGTCCCTACAGATGTAGAGACAGCTTTCCGAATAAGCGGTTGATTTAAAAAAATGTTGACTATTCAAAAGTGCTTAAATTAAGTTTATTTGAATAAATGATTTTCTATTCTATTCTATTCTATTCTACAAGCAGCACTCGTTCACGAGTATGATGGATGAGCCAGCCAGCTCAAACACTAGACCACGTCATAGCTACTTAAAATAAAATATACACATATACGTAAATTTGGTGAACTCAGTTAATCTACAATGCGTTACTATCAATTAATTAACCGCTGATAATTACAAGGCGAGCCTTGTAATTACGTATGGATGTTCTTGTAACCGTTGCCTTGTGGATAAGGTTGCCACCAACTGCAGTATTTATTGTCAAATGCTACTACTGTAAGGAGCACTAATTATGATGACTGATGACTGAGGCTTTGAAGCCGGCTACCGCAAGGGAAACCCCAAGTAGCGCCCGTGACTTGTGACACGGGTGTAGGTTTAAAAGGCCCTTTTAGAATGCATTAACACTCACCTTCACTACTTGCAGCTTCCCCCCAGGCCCAACTAAGACCGGGATAAACCCATTTCTAATACAATTCACTTTAGTATCCAAAACACAACCGGCACGCCTTGCGCTCGTCGACTGAATGCCGTGGCTCACCCAACGAAAGAGGATTATTCAACTACCGACCTCCGTATTTATAGACCGAAGTCAGTGTAGTAACGAGAGAAACGAGGGTAACGGTTATCTTATGACAAACAACTTAGTACGGTCTATTAATACTAGATGGCGCTATTTACAATATTTGTAATAATCTTTACATTGGGTACTTCATGAGTACTAAACACAAACTACCTTCTTTTAATATCTTTTTAAGATGTCGGATTTTTCTACACTACTAACTTCACGACTAGTCCTAGTGGGTTAGGCAGAGGTATTAGAAACTATCGCCATTTTACGGTGTTGTTTGTGTTAGTATGTGCTTTCTATATAAGAAACTTGTATGTTGCTCTTTTGAATAGATGTTTTTTTTTTACTGTAATTACTTATATAAAAAAAAACATTCAAATGAGCAACACACAAGTTTCTTGCTTATTCTTTTTGTGATGAGTCTGCATTCCGAATGAGTGGTGGAGTCGAAATATGACTATTCAAAAGTGCTTGTAATGAGTTTATTGGAATAAAAATTATTTCTATTTCTATTTCTATATATTTATAAAAAAAAAATGTTTAAGTATTTCTATTGCATAGTTGTCTAGTGCATAACAGAAACTTGTG